AAACGTCGTTTTACGTTTTATATTTACGTATTAGACGATGGATAATATCCAAGAAAATTTTTATTCAATTGATTAATTATACCGTCTTCACAATAGATTACCATCGGACACTATCATGAGCTATATGAATCCAATACAAACGCCAAAAACCTTATTTCCCTAAAATTCGTATTAATATCATCCTCCCAACTACGTCTACGTCTTCGGAATGATCTCTTCCCTTAAGGTTTACAAACGAAAATCGTCTCCCCCATGCCCCTTCGTAGATAATGACGCACTTCTGAAACCTTCACAGTAGTTGAGGGGTTGGGAGAATTTAAAAGATGGACTTAAGGCCAGAACGAGTTTGTACAGCCCCGGTCCTGCACCCACTCACATTTGTAGTGGAAGATAAGTCTGTTGCAACAGCAGGCGGTGATGAGGCGATGTTCCCGACATGAATTCGCGTGCAGGAACGAGCAGTCCGCGTAGTTGCACTGGTACGGCAGTTCTGTGAACAAAACGGAATTTGAACTGCACATTGAGGCTTTCAGACGAGGCAGTCTGTCGCTACAACGGGGTGCATGACGTTCGCTGATTACTGCGACCCCTAAATGAACAGAACTACTTTCAGCGTAAACAAAAAACATTTCTTCATCACAAACCTAAAATGGTCAACGCTCTTCAAGGAAATGGTCGTATAATTGTAATCCTGGGGTCTCGGGTTCGATTCCCGGCGGTGCCCGAATTTATAACTTGTGTTGGGCAAGGCCGTGGTCTAGGCAACACGGAGTTTTCCTCCGTGGCATCCCAACAATTACTCCATTCTCACACAGAAGAAGGCAATGGCAAACCACTTCTGGATCATCTGCCAAGAACGTATATGAACAGGTCCCAGTCCGAGAAAAGGATGGAAGGATCCTGTTCATATGGACCTGTCGTCAGACAGAACACTAAATAAATAATATAAAATAAATTAAGGGGTTAAACCTACCGTGAGGTTTGAGGCAGCAACATGCGTCGTGCAACAGCTTGTCACTGCAGTAGCTGAACACAGATGAGTCACAGAGCGGGCAATCGTAAGGCCTGCGATCCGCTGTAAAGAAACAGCGCAACTTTCAATTCAGTTGGAGGGGTGTGACGTGGATCATCTGTCTCAGGATACCAGCCCGTGGCGGGCGTCTATGACCCCGGCAATGAAACAGTAAGCTCTAAGGGCTCTGTTCCAAAAAATTTAAACAACGAGTTCGCCTGCCTTCGTCACCAGTCAAAATTCAAATTTAATCGAATTCTGTCAAGTGACTCAGAATATCGAAGTCCTGATGACGGACACAACGTTCCTTGAGCTGAGCGTTGTTAATAGCCAGGGTTGGTCCATTCCTTAGCAGCACTTGAACCAGAGCGGGGGGTGGGGGGAACTTGC